AGGAAGTAAGACCTATCTGAGGTTGTATGTCAGAGAATTTGCTCAATGATATTAACCTATATGGAAGAGGTTGAGAGATCCAATAAGGATGTGAGACCTATTCGAGGTTGTATGTCAGAGCACTTTGCTCAATGATGTTAATTAGTATGGAAGAGGTTGAGAGATCCACCAAGGATGTAAGACCTATCCGATATTATATGTCAGAGTCTTTTCTCGATGACGTTAACCTGTATAGAAGAGATCGAGAGAATCCACTAAGGATGTAGAACCTATCTGAGGTTATATGTCAGAGCCTTTGCTTGATGATATTAACCTGTGTGGAAGAGGTCAAGAGAATTCACCAAGGATGTAAGACCTATTCGAGGTTATGTGTCAGAGTCCTGCTCGATGACGTTAACCTGTATGGAAGAGGTCGAAAGATCCACCAATGATGTGAGACCTATCCAAGGTTATATGTCAGAGCACTTTGCTCGATGATGTTAACCTGTATGGAAGAGATCGAGAGAATTCAATAAGGATGTGAGACCTATCTGAGGTTGTATGTCATAGAACTTTGATCGATTATGTTAACTTATATAGAAGAGGTCGAGAAATCCACCAAGGACATGAGACCTATCCGAGGTTGTATGTTAGAACACTTTGCTTGATGACATTAACATGTATGGAAGAGGACGAGAGATCCACCAAGGATGTAAGATCTATCTGAAGTTGTATGTCAGAGCCTTTACTCAATGACGTTAACCTGTGTCGAAGAGATCAAGAGAATCCACTTAGGATGTAAGACATATTCAAGATTGTGTGTCAGAGCTCTGCTCGATGACAGTAACCTATATGGAAGAGGTCGAGAGAAACCACTTAGGATGTAAGACCTATCCAAGGCTGTATGTCAGAGCCCTGCTTGATGACGTTAACTTGTGTGGAAGAGGTCGAGAGAATTCACTTATGATGTAAGACCTATCCGAGGTTGTATGTCAAAACACTTTGCTCAATGATGTTAACCTGTATGGAAGATGTCGAATCGAATCCCCCTGAGATCAATTTTGACTTGATTAGGAGGGGGCGAACGCTGCGTGTATCCCGAATCAAAGGTAAAAAAATGGTTTATCTTTAGACTGTTACTACCTTTTCGAGATCAAGATTAAGATCTTGCCCAAGGAGTAGAAGTCCAATAAGGGGCTGTATAAAGCTTGTAATTGATTGGAAGCATCTTTGTATTTGCTGGGATTTTCTTGAAATATTATCTTGATGATGAAAGCATCAGAGGATCTTTTTGACCATGGTTAGAGTCAAAATTGCCCCCTAGTCCACATCTGATGCAACAATGACTGATGTCAGGAAGTTGATAAGAGCAATCTTTTAAGATTAGAGCAATAATTTGCCCCCCAAATGGGAACCACTTTCCCACAGACGACGTCAAACTGTTGTGTCATGGAGTATTCACGATGGTAGAAAAATATATAGTTTAATGTCTTAACATTGTATGAAGATCTAGCACATACACAGATAAAAAGAGAGGGTGCAATAATTAAAGGAGATATCAAGATTTTTACATGGAAAACCCCTGAAAAGGGGGAAATACTACGGGGCCTAGCCCAGTTTGAATGAATCCACTAGTATTCGCAGTTGATTACAAATGAGGCCCTTCCTTAGGGGAAGGCCTTAGCTTAATATACATCATATATAGTACATTACATGATATGAGTACAAAGAATCAATGCTTATGTTTTTGTTTAGTTTGAAGGACTGTAGTCAGTGGACGACATAAGTCGGAAGGACTGTAGTCGGTGGGCGACGAAGATTAGAAGGATTGCAGTCAGTGAGCGACGTAAGTCAGAGGGACCGCAGTCGACGGGTGATGGAGGTCAGAAGGACTATAGTCGTTAGGCGACATAAGTCTGAGGAACCGTTATCTGACGACGAAGGTTAGAAGGATGGTGTCAGGTAAACATGCAGCAATGGACAGAAATCCAACATCGAATAGATGTCCGTAAAAAGTCCAACAATAGGTTGAAGCCCTATGTCGGGTAGAAATCTGGTGACGAGCAGAGGTCCGGCATCGGGTAGACGTATAACGTCAGTTAGCGGCTGAGGAGAACTCCGGGGTTAAATAGTATTCGGCAAAACTCCGGCGTCACTTGGAGTTTGGGCGAAATTTAGGCGTCACTTGGAGGTCAAGCGGAATTTCGACGCCATTTGGAGGTCGGGCAGAATTCTGGTGTCATTTGAAAGTCTGGCGGAATTCCGGTGATGGTCGAGGAGGACTCCGGCATTAAATAGTATTCGGGCAGAACTCCGACATCACTTGGAGTTCAGGCGGAATTCCGACGTCACTTGGAGGTCGGGAGGAATTCCGGTGTCATTTGGAGGTCGGGCAGAATTTTGGCGTCACTTGAAAGTCAGGCGGAATTCCGGCACCCCGTGGAAGTCGGGAGGAATCCCGGTGGTGGTCGAGGAAGAGTTTTTCCCTCCTATCCTTCTTCTCTTCTCTTCTCCTTCTCCTCTTGCTTCAACCCCCGAGCCCCCCTTCTTGCTTCAGTCCAAAGCTCACTCTCAAGAGAAATGTGGGGCTATTTTTAATTTTTTGGAGTGACATGGCCTGTAAATAGGTGAGAGATCAAGGGCAAAAGTGGAGTTGTTCGGATGGACGACCGATATTGAATCCCTTGATCATGTACCGTTCATCAGACATTTAAAAGTCTTAATGATGTCAGAATTCAGTAATCTTGGGCTCATTGGATTCGTCTCGTCAAGACTCTTGGTTCGACTATAAGCATGTCATATTTAGAAACCGTTTGAAAATCCAAATTGTGGTTTGAAGCTTCCAACAGCGCTTCGGGTCCTTGATTTGGACCCATTTGGGCTCGGATTGAGTCAAATTTGGTGTCGTTAGATTCGTATTTCCAAGATGTTCAGTTCGACTATAAGTTTGCTTAAATCGGAGCTCAGATGATCCCAGATTTAATTTTTGAAGTTTCCAACTTTATATTTGCCTCAAGATTCATGCCCGAACAATATAATTTTTCGAGAATATATTAAGTTTGATGGCAAACATGCTCTTACAATGAATTTAAATTTCTAAATTTTCTTCAAAGTACTACCTATAATGATGAAAGTTGGAAACACAACATACCATAATAAAAAATATAAACACAAAATATAGATATCATAGTGAACATGGTAAGCATATAAACTAATTCATATACTTTTTATTTGCTAAACAACATACGTAGACGTTTTTGGAGTTGCGTTTTAGTCGGGCAGCAGTTTAGATAAAATTCAAAGTCATACTGAATGTCATGTTAGTCCTTACAATTAAAAAAATTTCTAGGCTTACCTTCAGGTAAAAAGCTCTTTTATTCGGTCGTTATAGAAATATAATATAAGCTTGTCAAAATCAGAATGCCATTTATGATATAAAATCACATGCTCGATGCTAAGGTTGTTGCGGTCAACATCTGGCAAATGACCACTATCTCTCTAACGTCTCATCATATGATATTACACATGCAAGAATGACTTACGAGATTTCCATTTAGAAAATCTCTCGTCCTATAAATATTTATGCTCATTATCTCAACATGTATGACCCAAAGGGCGTGATCCTCATATTTGGACCATGCATGCGCGGAACACCTGAATATTTCATTTGCATTCGTCTTTTTCTCCAACAAACTGTCACCGCTTTGTGCTATACAAGTATACATTCTTCTGCTTACAGAGTCAAACCTTTATTTATTAGGGATTCCTCGAATCCTCTTCATACATGGCCAATACATTTCAAACATCTAAACTCAAATATTCAGAAGTCTACTTAATATGTGAATGCATACCCTATAAATAGCCTAGATTGTGCATATCTCACCTTCCCATACAACTTAAAACTAAATTCTTATTTGATGGGACATTACACCTTTTCAGGTCATATAATATGATGTGTTGCTGCAGTAGAAATCCTATCAACGAATTTAGAAGGATCCAACGCTTTGAATAAATTTCAAAAAGAGAAATTCAATGACCACAACAATTACAAAATAAAAACTATTGATTGATATTATGGAAATATTTTAACTCCCACAATGACATGACAATACAACGTTCTTTGCAGAACTAATTTGAAAATACAAGCCAGTAAAACTGAATTCATAATACAAGCCACCTAAATTTATTTGACAATACAAACCAGCAAAATTAATTTAACAATACAAAAGCTACAAAATCAATTTGGCAATACAAACCTGAAACACTAATTTGACAATATGACCCACCTAATTAAATCAATCATTTTTTAAAAATAAGCCTAACATAAATTGATCAATGCCTAATTTTTAATATTTCGTAAAACAAGCATAACGTACTACTTGCTATAAAATTACATAATCAGGAATATATATGATTAAAAAAAAAAAGGAAGTCGCCCATTCAACGGGCGATTTGGTCATGCATGAAAAATCCCCATTAAACAGGCAATTATGCCTAGTTTTAAATTTTTTTAAACGTGCTGAATCACCTAATTACGCTCCTAATGATGCTTAATCTAAAAAATTTGCCCTTTGTTGAACTAAGCTCATTCAAACTCGAATCCAATGTCAATGGGTTTGTCAAGGTGTTTAATTAGATTATTATAAGTTTTCTTAAATCAAAATTTGGACGACCCTGAATTTAATTCTAAAATTTTAATTCAAATATGCATCATAATTGCACCAAAATCTTTAAATTCATTTTGAGATCAATATAATAACAAGTATTTATATATCATATTCATTTGGAAATACATTCAAGAAATTTGATACTTATCATCAATTTTGTATTGATACAGAATTCTTCTTTTATCTCTTTATGTTAAAAAAACATAACTGTTTATTATATAAAGTTCAAAAAACATATTTCAGCTATTATCAACAATTTCAGATAAATTATTATTACTGATATCAAACAGTTTTTGTTCACAGCCCAATTTATGTTAGTGTCAGAAGTATTAGTGTGAGAGGCATCAAAAACAGTTTCCCCAATAAGTCATAAATAAAACTTTCCTTTAACAACTTTTGTACACAAGAGGGTTCCATCTTATTACGAGGGCCCATATTTACAGCTTTGGCTTCGCCTGCCTTTCTCCATGCCACTTCCACGAACTCCTATTTAAAAGAACAAATGTTAAAAAATAAAAATACTTTGCAAGTTTTAGACTTCTGCTTCATTTGGGACAACTTTTTTATTACTTTCTAAAACAGCTATCTAGTAGAACAAAATTTGAACTAAAAATTCTTATACTAGAAAGCTGCATTAGAAAGCGGTAAAAAAGTTATCACAAACAAAGCCTTTATTTGAGACGGCTTTCTTTCTGCTTCTTAAAGTATTTTTTTAACATAAAAATATTTAAAACTACAAAATTTTGTACTAAAAAACTACCTTAGAAGGCAATAAAAAAGCTAACTCAAAAAAACCCTAATTAAAATTTTAAGGGTTTTGCTTAAGCCAAGTCAAAAACACAAAACAACAATAACAACAACAACAACATCAAGCCTTTATCCCACGACGTGGGGTCGGCTACATGAATCCTTTTTCTCCCATTTTTTTTTTTTTTTTTTTTTAGGCTTCCGCATCATTTGGGACAACTTTTTTATTTATTTCTAAAACAGCTATCCAGTATAAAAAATTTTGAACTAAAAATTCTTATACTAGAAAGCTGCATTAGAAAGCGGTAAAAAAGTTATCACAAACAAAGCCTTTATTTGAGACGGCTTTCTTCCTGCTTCTTAAAGTATTTTTTTAACATAAAAATATTTAAAACTACAAAATTTTGTACTAAAAAACTACCTTATAAGGCAATAAAAAAGTTGACTCAAAAAAACCCTAATTAAAATTTTAAGGGTTTTGCTTAAGCCAAGTCAAAAACACAAAACAACAACAACAACAACATCAATCCTTTGTCCCACGACGTGGGGTCGGCTACATGAATCATTTTTCTCCATTGTGTCCTATTAAAAGTCAAATTCTCGTTTAAATCTAATAAAGAAATGTCATTCTTAATATTTTCTAACCAAGTTTTTTTTAAGTCTACCCCTACCTTTCTTAACATAAGTCAAATCTAATACCTCTACTCTCTTAACCGGGTCATCGAAAGGCCATCGTTTTATGTGACAAAACCATCTAAGACGACTCTCTCTAATCTTATTTTCTACTGGAGCTACTCCAACCTTTTCAAGTATATGCTCAAAAACACAAAACAAAAAAAGAAAAAATCTTAGTACAACAAAATAAGGGAATTAAGCATTTCTTGCCTTCTACCTTGAGAAAAAAAAGGTCTGTTTCTAATGGCTGCAACCCAAAAATATTATGTGAAAAATAAAGTTTTTGAGAGTTGACATGTACTATAATTTTTCCCTTAAGAAAAATTAAAAAACAAATGTCTTATAACCATCATACTGTAGTAGACATAATTTAGAAAAGCCCTCTAATCATAAATTTAAAAAATAAAAATAAAATTTATAATCAAACAGAAGTGTGATTATTTAAGCTATCAGACAAGCATCCTAGAACTTTCCTCCATGGCTTCAGCAAAACATATTCTTGGGGAAGATCATGACATGCACAGACCCTTAAAAAAACATATCTTTCTTTCCTTTTTCAGTTAATGAAAACATTTCTCAAGTAGGACCAAAAGGAGGAGAAAACAGATGTTCACAATATTTCAACAAAATGTTAGTGCGATTTCTCACTAAAAAAAGAACATGCGAGGAAAACCTATTATGTTGCAGTGAGGAAAGCACATTCAACAACATGAGAAATTAATCTGTAGGCTTAGCCTTATCAATAGCGATTTTTTACTTTTTTGAATTGAAGTACTTTGAGAAGCCAAGATAATTTATTTGGAATAATCAGTTGCTAGACCACCCTTTTTCAACATTAGGAATCAGTGTTATAGCATTATATTTAAAAATATTACCTGTGCAACACATGGAGGAGTATCTTCTTGAATGATTATCAAGCTGCTGCAGACCGCTTTTCATGGGAATCGTCAAGGTTGAGTGCTTTAAGTAGTTTAGGCCAAGACTCTGGGATTCCTCCTGGCAAATGGAACTCAAGTAGTTTTCCTTGACTGCGGTAGAATTCCTCCACTGGTTGGCTCTGGAAATTACAAAGAATTTTTCCAGTTAATGATTGTTGTATATAATTCATCAATCGGAAGAAATGACTTTTCCAAAGTTATAATTGAACTGAATCTTGTGCCTATTCTAGTTAATGGTATTTTAGAAATTAGAAGTTTCAGCTTATGTTATTCGATAGTTCCTGCTATAGAATGGTCATGAAGGAGGTAAAAATTAGGCTACTTAGCAAGACTGTGGTTGCTTGACAAGGCGGGATTGTGGGAAAGATCACTACAATGGCAATTTCTTCTTACTCACCTCATCAATCTCAATTGCATTCCACAGATTAACAACCAGGCCCAGCAATCCCAACTGTCTTGAAGAAATCATTTGTATCATCATGAAGGCACCAACCTTCGAAAATGGTGGCAACTTATATCTATGCGCTCCTATAAGTATGTATTCTAATCATCCTCTCAATCGAGAGTTGCCCATTGCTCTCAACCACTAGAGCGATGATAATGAACTATTTGTCTTCCGATATCATTTTTGTTGCGCCTCATATGAACCTTAAAAATATTGAGTGATATTATTTCCATAAATTAGTTTTATTAAAAAAACAAACAAGATGCGATCTTTGATCATACTAGTAACTTTCTTTTGGAACAAACAGGAGCATGCAGCTGCTCCTGCACAACCTCCTATATTAAAACAAAAGGTTTTTTTTTTTGCATAAAGAAGGTCAATCATGTCTGCCAAAAATCATCTGATCACTGAAAACGGGATTACATAAAGCTAAGACTAAGAAATTAAGCATCAAGAACTTATTGTTATAAATGAAAAATCCATGAAGGACAAAGCAGTGTAGTACCATGGCCTGATATACCCGAAGACGTTCTTTCACGACTTCTTCAGTATCGTCAGCTCGAGAAATGAGCTTTGACGCACAATTTGACGGAGGTAGAAGTGGCTCCATGTATATACCAGGCTTTCCATTTTCTTCTTTGATATCAATGGAAGCAACATTGAAGTTCCCTCCACACTGGCTGCAGATCCTTCTTCCAAGACACTTTTCAAGTAGCACATCTTCTCTGAGCTTTAGGTTGATCACCAGGTCAATGTTGGTGACTCCATCAAGTATTTCCTAAACAGTACAGATAAGACAAATGTAGACTTTTAGTATGCAATGGAAAGCACCTGAAATATTTTGTGATTCAGGCATACAACTTGAGCTTTATGAATTTGTTTGAGAAGTCTATGAAGTAAGTATTCAACCATCAGTTAGATATCATGACTTTATGGCGTGTTCATGCCCAAAATGGAACAGAACAAAAGATAAAGGGTATAACAGAGTCCAAGCGACTTCATATGAAATAATGGGAGGCTAAATGAGAATTAAACCTACATCATATACATTGCTATCCTTGGTGATTCCTATGAAGAAAAACATTCAGCTACTAAAGCCTTATGAATTGCTTTGGTAAACAAAAAATAAATTACAAGACTTTTGAGTTGCTTTCTTAAAACTAAAACTAAATTATAAACATACATCATATACATTCCAAGGTGATTCCTATGAAGAAAAATATTCAGCTACTAAAACCATATGAATTGCTTTGTTAAACTAAAAATAAATTACAAGACTTTCGAGTTGCTTTTTTTAAACTAAAACTAACTTATAACATGTTCAAGTATAGTCTCAAGTGATAGGGAAAGTTTTCAGTTGATTCCTACCAAAAATAACTAATTCAGTTAAACTATTTCGGGAATTAAGTAATTATCTAATCAATTATTTTGTAAAGAACGAGAATGCATCATATATTATTTTGGTATAGACAAAAAGAAGGATGGAAATCGACAAGAAAAGAACAGTTTTAATCACATTTAACTTTGAAAGTTTTTAATCAGATTGAACTGACTGCACCTCAATGCCCATCTAACATCCATTAAAAAGGAAGGGACAGTAGGAAAAAGTGAAACTAAACATTGACAGTTTTTTTTAGTTATGAAAATACAAAATATACACCATTCATATATTATTGGGAATTTAAGAATCAGAGATCAGTAATGAAGCATTGGAAAACACTACAGTAAAACAAATTTAGACTGAAGAAATTGTAAAAATGAATAAATCATATTTAGAACATTTTCAAATATTGAATATGTTAAGTGAACTTAGAAAATGAAAATCAGCCATCAACTAGCATCTAAGAAATATTGATAAATTATGTCAACAAAAATAAACACAGCGGGATATACTAGTTATATCGTATGAAAACTTGTTAAAATTATGGAGTTGAAAACAATTGAAATAATATAATTTGTTTGAGGCGGCTAACCAGGTAGTAAAACATCAGAACTTATAAAAATGTATTGCATCATGTACCAGTTCCTCACCGCTTGCCTAATAGTTCGTGGGAAACCATCAAGAATGAACCCTGATTCACCCTTAGCTGCACCACTTTCAAGACGCTTAGATAAGAGATTTATTATAGTTTCATCAGAGACCAACTTTCCTTTGTTTACAATATCAGCAAGCTGCAATGAAATAAAATACGTAATATTAGCTAGCATTTTTTATTGGCTTTACAAGTACCTGTCATATACTGTACAAAATCTATCAACTAAAAGGAGAATAACCTATATAAATTGCTAAACATGACATTGCAAGAATGGATATCAGTATCACTGCAGGCCATGCGTCGTCGGGACACCATGCAAGGGAATACAAGTGCACCTAACAAAAATGCTCAACATACATGGACTCCCACTGTCTTCCCATGCATAAGGAGTGTTGATACATTAATACTTAGGAACATGCAAGACAAATTAATGAATTAATACTCAAAAAAAGGATTAGCAACCCCAGTTCATTAATTTGCTTTCCTCAAGATTAATACCCTATCGACTCCTATATGAAATTTTGAGAGTCCTTATATCCTACAAATATTATGGCTTTCATGCTTTAATTAATACAGCTAATGGATTGTGAGGAATTAGCAACCCGGGTTCATTAATTTGTCTTCCTCAGATTAAGACACTTCCCTCTCCTTATACATGGAATTTTGACAGTTTGTATATCCTCTAAATATCATGGCTTTCATGCTTTAATAAGTATGGCTAATGGATTATGATGAATCACACATAACTGAACGGATGACAGATCTAGAATTCTAGGACTAAGGCCACTCAGATGGCTAGAATAATCTCTCCTAACAAGCATACAAAGGAAATGTTTATGAGTTAACTATAGTCATGGTGGAAGAATGGAAAAAAATAATGTTACCACATAGATCTAAGTGGATCAAAGAAATTATGAATGGGATTGCTAGAATCTATAAGAAAAAGATTCATGATCTATTTGGGATAGCTACAGTTGTTTTTAAATATAATTAAAGAGTTATTATGGGACAGGCAGCAATTTTTTCTTTTGAAAAAGCTAGACAACAATTTTTTTACAGCTACAATAATCTAATAGATTTGGTTGTAAAAATCTGTCGCATATCACAAAAAATTTTGAAAATGAACAAGAAAGCAATTGCCAAAAAGATGCATTAAAACAGTCTGAAAAACAAAGTAGAAAAAGACTACCCAAAAAAGACACAAGGAAAATTTTAAAATCCCAAGTGCAACATTATTTACAAGTGAGGTAACATATTTGAAATGCAAAAATTTATCATCACAATGTAAAATAATTGTGTTAAAATGATTTTTTTTTATTTCCACTTTAAAATTTTAAATTTTGGATTTCAGATTCTTTTAAATTTTGATATATTAGTGTGTCTATTTACATTTTCAACATGGTAATGATGAATGACACTTTTGCACTTAGATTCAGGGCCCTAAATTTCCTATTCTATTATTTGCTTTGTTGAAATATGTTGAGACATTTCAATTATCTCAATGGCTTACGTGTGGTGGTTCCTATTTATACTGTTCTATTACTATGGCTATCCTATCGTATTATGTTGCGGTTTTAGGTTCCTTCTTTAGCTATTCTATTTGAGAGACCTGTAGAAAACTAATCTCCATGTATCTATTCCAATAACTTATCTCAGTGAAATGACTCGTGATAACAATTTAATGTTGTGACAGTCAGGGGCGGAACCAGCTATAATTTTCAGGGGGGGCAAAACGTATAAGTAACTGTTCGCATATATGTCGGGGGTCCAAGGGGGCAGCGCCCCCCTACGAGGGTTTCCGGGTCCGGGGGCAGCGCCTCCAGAACAAATTTTGATTTACTATTTCTCTTTGTATTTGGTTCATCATTCTCTAACAATAATACATCTACATAATGTATTTAATTATATTTGGGGCAATTGCCTAAAAATCATAGTATTTTAACATTTTTAGAGGGGGGGGGCAATCACCTTAAAGCCCTGTAATAAAGACTAAAAATAATCTAAATAAGAGTATAATAAAAAAAAAAATTTTGAGGGGGGCAAGCCATAAAGGGGTTTCGCCCCTGGTGACAATTGGATAGCAGGAGTTAACACTAAACTAGGAAAAAGAGGCCTACGTTGACCTTAGTTATCAGGGTTAAGCCATCAATTCAAATATAAGTTACCTATGACTAGCCTAAACCAAGACAAGCTAGTTAAGCTAATTTATAGGTTGACATTAATACCAGGATAACCCCATGCCAAAGTTTCTAATTGAATGAAGGGAGCCACTAAAATAATGGACGCCAACAAATAATAGATTATTCAATTTAAATGAAGTTTAAAATATTTGTATTAAAGAACTTCAATGACAATTGTAAACCTCTAACCACCCACCCAATACCCAATGCCTAGTAAGGTTTAAAAAAGCGAGATTGGGAACTGAGGCCTTTTTTCTTAATGAAAAAAGGCGTAAGCCTTGAGATAGAATGAGATGTAAGCCTCAGATAAAAATAAAATAAAAATAAGAATAAAAACTCATAAAATCAAAAAATAATAATAATTATGTCATAAATTATCAATAGGTTAGCTTAGTTCATCAACAAGAAACCACAAAATCATATAATAAGAAAAAAAATCAATCTCAATCAACCTTAAATATTACAGTAAAGTGAATGTGTGAAAAATGATTCAAGTTAAACACCCACTTAAAATTTAGATTCTCATTACAGTCACAAATCTCCTCTCTAGTAGTTAGATGTTCAAACGCTATCGCAACCCTTCCTGCTAAAAACCCTCTCCCTCCCAATTACGCTTCCTACCACTAGTAGACTCACACTCGTCACTTATAATTCTAACATAAAAATTTAAATCAGGATGTAAGCTAAAAATCTTGCAAAGTTATTCCAAATGAAAATTTATGTACCCAACATCGGTTATTAGTTTTGGACTTTAAAATAAAGGGATAGAAAATAAAGAACAAAGTTAAATGATATTCTAGGATTAGATGGGGGCATTTAAAGAATATTAACAAAAATATTTTTGAGAGTAAGATTTTATATTATAAGATTTTGTTTGTGCATAAAGATGCTAATGCTATTTGGGAAAAAGTGGCTAGTGATATTAAAAATATTGCAAAAGATGTGCTTGGAGTTTCAAAGGAAAAAGTTTCTAATAGTAAAAATAGTTGGTGGTGGAATCCAATTGTACAAGATAAGATTAAAAATAAAAAGATTTGTTATAAAAATTGTTTTAATTGTAAAAATTATGATAATTGGGATAGATATAAAGAGGCAAGTAAGGAATCTAAGAAAGTAATATGCGATGCAAAGACCTTAGCTTTTAGTGATTTATATAATAGATTAGGCACTAAGGAGGGAGACAGATATATGTATGAGTTAGCCAAACAAAGAGATAGGAGTGGTAAAGATTTAGTTCAAGTGAAGTGTATCAAAGAATGAAGATCAAAAAGTTTTTTTTTTTAGAAAATGATATTCAACAAAGGTGGATGAGATATTTTGCTAAACTTTTTAATGAAGAATGTGAAAATACGATTGACTGTAGTGACCTTAGCACCCTAAATGAAAATATAAATTTCTGTTTTTATTGGCGTATTAGTAAAATTGAAGTTAGAGAAGCTTCAAAAAAATGAAGTGTGGAAAAGCGATTGGACCTGATGATATTCCAATAGAGGTGTGGAAATGCTTAGGAGATGAAGGAATTTCTTGGCTTACTAAACTTTTTAATACTCTTTTGAAGACTAAAAAGATGTCAGATGAGTGGAGAATGAGTGTGTTAATTCCTATTTTTAAGAATAAAGGTGATGCACAAGATCGTGCGAATTATAGAGGAATTTAGTTAATGTGTCATACTTTAAAACTTTAGGAGCAAGTTATCGAGCATAGGTTGTGGCGTGATACTAATGTTTCTCAAAGTCAATTTGGATTCATGCCGGGTAGGGTCAACTATGGAAGCTATACATTTATTAAGAGGTTTGATGGAGAAATATAGAGAAAATAAAGAGGATCTACATATGATATTTATTGATTTAGAAAAAACATATGATAAAGTTCCTAGAGAAGTGCTATGGAGAGTTCTTGAAAATAAAGGAGTTAATAACGCTTATATTCAAATCATTAAAGATATTTATGCAAGAGCTATTACTTGTGGTCAAACACAAGGTGGTTTGACCAAGTATTTCCCTATTTCAGTTGGGTTACATTAAGGATCATCCTTAAGCCCATATCTCTTTGCTTTAGTCATGGATGTTCCCACTAGACATTAGCAAGAGGATGTACCTCGGTGTATGCTTTTTGTTGATGATATTCTTCTTGTTGATAAGACTAGAGAGGGAGTTGAAAGTAAACTTGAATCATGGAGGTCAACCTTAGAGTCTAAAGGTTTTCGTTTGAGTAGATCTAAATGGAATATATGGAGTGTAATTATAGTAGTAATAGACCTAGTGAGGGGATTGTGACTTTGGGCGATCAAGTCATTAATAAGAGTAAACGCTTTAGATATCTTTGATCTACTATTTAGAGTGATCGTGAAATAGAAGAAGATATTATTAACAGAATTCAAGTTGGATGTTTGAAGTGGAGGAATGCAACAGGCTTGTTGTGTGATAAAAAAATTAACCCTCAAATTTAAGGGAAAATTCTATAAGATGATGGTGAGGCCTGCAATGCTTTATAGTGCCAAATGTTGGCCATTAAAAGAGAAGCATAATACTAAGTTAAGTGTGGCAGAGATGAAGATGCTCAGGTGGATGAGTGGCTTTACCCTTAGAGATAGGATACAAAATGAGCATATACATGAAAAGGTTGGAGTAGCTCCAGTAGAAGATAAGATTAGAGAGAGTCGCCTTAGATGGTTTGGTCACATAAAATGGCGGTCTTCCAATGACCCGGTTAGGAAAGTAGATGTATTAGATTTGACATATGTTAAGAAAGGTACAGGCATACCTGAAAAGACTTGGTTAGAAAATATTAGAAATGATCTTTCTCTATTAGATTTAAAAGAGAATTTGACTTTTAATATGACACAATGGAGACAAAGGATTCATGTAGCCGACCCCACGTAGTGGGATAAAGGCTTGATGTTGTTGTTGATGTATGTTAGCTATATTAGGTATATCAAATAACACTCTCATACAGCTCAACATATAAAGCCTCGAGGTGTATGCCTCAAATAAAAAAATTCCAAGGCTCAAACCATAAAGGTGCCCTAAGTAAATTTATATGGTGAGGTGCACCTCGAATGACCTTTTAACAATGCTTCATAGTGAGCAAACACAAGAATCCAATCATCTTATATATCTCTAAAGGCCTAACCATAAAATACAAAATCAGAAGCATGATTTTCAATTGTAGGTTAAAAAGAAAAAATTTGAGTAATCAAACATAATCTTACACAAAGCACAATTCTCAAATTACCATAATTATAACAGAATTAAAGTCTAATTTCGATTTCTTTGATTGAGTCAATGCCAAAGCTAGCTCAATTGAACCCTTATATACTCCAAAAAGTCAAACAGAGATTTGGAATGCTTTAACCAACCAAAATGATGTTTGAATGAGCATGAAACAACACTTACTAACCTTTAGCACTATATGCTAATCACATTTGATAATATTTTAATGATTCCCCTCCCTCAAATAGAGCAGATGAAAGAAGGTACAAGTCCACGATTTCATATAACTAAAGAAGATGAGATTACACAATTGAGAATAATCACCTGGTTCTTGCTATAGAGATTATAGAAAAAGCAATAGAAAGCAGAGATAATCATACAACTTCATTCGAGCTAAGATACTATAAAAGAGGTTGGATGCCTACAATCGAACAGAGTGATACAATAACGAGGTAGGATGTTAGTACTTAGGCAACAATATATATTTAAAGAACAAAAGCCAGGCGATGGTTGTGTCAATTGCTGATGATGGTCTTCAACGGCAATTATCATGCAAGATAGTTGAATTCTTTAGCATGCTTAGCTTCCGAACATCTCTCACCTCTCTCAAATAGAGAATGTGGTCCTATTTATAGCTTTTTGAGAAGAGGCACTTTAGTAAATTTGGCCATGGTAAGAAAAAATACATCAAATGACCCATATTAATTCTCTTAATAATAGATTTTTTATTCAGTATTTGAGTCCATTAATAACTTCCGAATTGGATGATCTTGTGTGTTTAGGAATCATCTTGTCGAAACACTCAATTTAATTATAAGCATTCAAAATTTAGAAGTTGTTTAGTTATTCAATTAATGTCCTAATGCTTTCAAATCTACTTTTAACTATTTGATTTGGGCTCATTTGGAGTTGGACTAAATCAGTTGTGATATTGATGGGTTCATCTCATCAAGGCATTCAATTCCTCTACCACCTTGTTGAAATCTGAATTCAAAATGATCTTGAATTTAATTTTGAAAGTTTTCAATTCACATGTCCATCAAGATTTGTGCACAATTAAGTCAATTTTTTTAAAAATATATCATAGGTAGCACTATTGTTAAACATCGAAGTCAGTACGTTCAAAAATATCTTTTCAATCTTAGAAAAATTTTAGAACCTAAAATTATAATTTTGAAAATATTGTGCGACACTCCTTCAAGGTCAAAGTGAACCTCACCTCGGAGCCATAAACCAAGTAAATTTCCCTAAATTGTTATTTCAACCTTTCTAAAATCAAAGCATTAATTGGACCAAAATTTGTTTAAAATTTGCTTAAATTTGATTACAAAGGCTTTACTCGGCTCCAAGCACACCAAAAT